CGGTTCGGGATGGGTGGCCTGGTGGGTGGCTTCAGGGGTTGGTGGCGGCACCCTGTCTACCCGGACCGAGATCGCCGGAGGCTGGCTGGTTGCCTAGCGACCTAGCGTATTGATCTCTCCCCGTATCTCGGCTTCTCCCCCCTTGCCGCGTGATTCTCAACCAGCCCTGCCTCTGTCCCTGCTCCCCGATCCAACGCCACCCCCGTCCCACCCTTCCGCTAGCCGTGCGTCTTCGTTCAGTTCCTCTCTCGCCTCCCTTTTTTCGTTTCTTGTAACCTGTCTCCGTCACTCCCACGGATTCCTTCCCGGTCCTCCAAGTTCCTTCATCTATTAGGTTTCTTTCTGTTTGCGCGTTTCGAGTGTCTACTTTTCCAGGGAAGTTCGGAAGAGAGACAGAGAGGAAGGAAAATTGTGTCGTTCCTCGCAGGGGCAAGGTGACGGGATTAGGATCAGATGATTTTCTTTTTCTCCAACTTCCCCCTCCCCCTAGTTCTCCACCGTCACCTTTCCTTTTTTTCACTCCGCCGAGGGGTTGCTTCCTGGGATGTTGCGATTGACGGGATCCCTCCGCGAGGGGCGCTCTTCCCGTTGAATATTTCGTTTAAGCGTTTCTTCGGGGTTCTACAGCGGTTCTTGGTCCGTTCGCCGGGTTCGATTTTCGAAGGGAAAAATGAAAGCTCCCCACGCGCGACGGAATAATCCGCTGAATTATAGAGGAGGCCCGGGTTCCGTACGGTTCATGATTCTGCGCGCCGATGCTGCGGTGCACGCGTCCTCTCTATGTCCGGAAAGGGGCCGAAACAATCGGCCGTGGCGCGCGGTTATGCCGATAATTCACGTAATTCGCGGCTGGGAAGGCGTTCGCGGCGAAGGATGCGATCGAAGAAAGTTGAAGGACCCCGGAGGAGTTGGTAAACAGCCGACGAGCCAGCCGCGCGCGACAGTTCGAGAGGATGGGGTATTAGATTCCGAATGTGTTTAAGGGAAGCGGATGATAAATATTCATTTATCCCGATGGTGGCTGACGTTACGTCGTTGGGGAGAGAGAGACAGAGAAAGAGAGTGAGAGAGGGAGAGGGAGAGAGAGAGAAAGAGAGAGAGAGAGAGGGAGAGAGAGAGTCGCTCGAAAGGATGTAATTAAAGCTTGCACCGGCAGCCTCGATACAGCCGGCCCCGGGATATTGAAGCCACCGCCGCCGACCCCCTTTAAACCAACGTTTCGCATAATCTGATACTTCCACTTTCGTTCAATTTCCCGACGACGGGATTGAAAATGAACGGGACGCTTTCAAAAGACCGTATTAGTTTCTCGCGCATTTGATCTTCTCATTTTTTTCAAGACACTCCCACACACGAAGATATCGAATATTAGCTGTTTCATCAATTCGAGACGAATTATAGGCTTGTAATGAAGTACCTAGTTAAAAGAACTGATCGCATCGCGTGTACAGATGGTGAATTTCTGTTATCAGTAGTGGAAAGATAGGTTACTTCATTTGTTGTAGTAATTAAAGTTGTGCGGAAATTAAAGTTTATTGGTTGCAAGCTAGGACCACGAAAAGAGCGATCCGCGATCAAGATCGTTGTGATTACGAAGAATGAACGGTAATGGTGGAAGCGATGATTCCGAAGTTTGGCTCCTGGGGATCGTCTTACAAAAAAGATCTGGTCTCGAATGGGTTAAGTAATCTTATAAGAATTTTATACACTTGATAAGACTTTATGTCCGTTCTGATTCATGCAATTATACAAATACAGATTCTAATTCTCTACGTTTGAAGCTCTAATTTCCAGAATCTGTATGAACGAACATCTACTTTGTTACAAATAATAGATTAAAGTGTACAGTAAATAC